TGCAGGGGGGAGGGAAGGGAGGGAGAGAGGGAGGGGAGGGAGGGAGACAGGGAGGGAAGGAAGGAAGGGAGAAAAAGATGAGGAAGGAAGGAAGGAAGTGAGGGAGGAAGGGATGGAAGGAGGGGAGGGAGGTAAGGAAGGAAGGGAGAGAGGAAGGGAGGGAGGGAAGGAGGGGAGGGAGAGAGGGAGGGAAGGAGGCAGGGAGGGATGAGGAAGGAAGGGAGGGTAGGGAAGGAGAGAGGGGGGAGGGAAGGAGAGAGGGAAAGGAAGGGAGGGAGGGAGGAAGAAAGGGAGAGAGGGAAGGAGCAGGGGAGGAAGGAGAGAGGGAAGGAAAGAGGGAGGGAGGTAGGGAGGGAAGGGATTACGATGTAACATCTGTGTGTTTGTTATATGTCGGGTATACGGAGGCTGCAGGGGGCAAACTTGAGGTGATTTGTGTCTGTCAATGTGAAACAGACAGCGACAGCGTGGTCGACTGTTAAGTCTTAAAATGACCTCAAACAACAAAACCAGCTGAGAGACAGCGAGGGCAGCGGGACGCCGGACTACTGTGGTCTTCTCCTGTGATTGGCTGACGGAACTGTTGATAGAGGAGATCATAGGAGGCGAATCTGATCAGGCTGCAGTTCCTCCAACGGCCACTAGAGGCTCCAGCAGTCAGTCTATATAAGGAACCATATTAAACTGCACTAATAAACATTTACAGCCTTTTGCTCTCAAGAGATCATTTCCCCATCGATCACCACTGTACTGAATATTAAACAGGAAACAGCAGAAAGTAATAATAATATTTGTTTACTGTATAAATGGGCAGAAAGTAAATAACACATATCACACATTGTGTTCGTTTACCATCTTCGTATTGTTTCTGAAACAGTCGGTGTTGAGTCGTATGTGTGGAAGCAGCTGAGTCTCACGCATCAGTTGATGGTCGCCACGGCGGTGCAGCTGTAGCCCGCAGTCAGCCAGTGTTGTTGTTGTTGTTGTTGTTGTTTTCTCTGGCCGTCACACGTGTTGTTGGATTGGTTGTTTGGTGACACTGATCTGATCTCACAGCCATATGGGCTCATTTTCTGCCTCATAAACTCTCGTCACCACGACGCCGTGGAAGCTCGTTGGGATGGAAAAGGTCAAACACAGTCTGCTCACTCACTGGCTGCTTCTCACTGAACGACACCAAACCGGAGTCTGCAGAGCCCACAGCCCCCCTACAGCCCACAGCGCCCCCTACAGGCCGCAGCCCCCCCTACAGCCCACAGCCCCCCTACAGCCCACAGTGCCCCCTACAGCCCACAGCCCCCTACAGCCCGCAGGCCCCCTACAGCCCACAGCGCCCCCTACAGGCCGCAGCCCCCTACAGCCCACAGCCCCCCTACAGCCCACCCCCTACAGCCCACAGCGCCCCCTACAGGCCGCAGCCCCCCCTACAGCCCACAGTGCCCCCTACAGCCCTCTCCTCTCCTCAGAGGTAAATATTGTACTTTTTACTCCACTACATTTGTCTGACAGCTTTAGTTACTTTCCAGCTGACCTCCTCGAACTCCTCGTTGTTCTGAGGGGAGCAGTACCGGAGGAGTCTGGTGGCTTTGAACTGAGCGATATAACGACTTCAGTTCCCCGATGGAAAGTCTTTGAATTCAGTTGGAAAATGGCTGCTCTGAATCACAGCCAGCATGGTTACTGGCTGTTATCTTTCTCTCTGATAGCTTTTAAACCAGGAATTTCCTTTTCTATCACTGAGTAAACTGTCACATATTTTATGGATATTTCATATTATATTCAAACAGTGAACTCAGTAACTGCAGGAAGTTTGTGTAAAACCAGAGATTTGGATGAATTCTGAGCAGATTATTTCCTGTTTATGGAACTTTTATATATTTCTCTGTCTATATAATGTATTATTTAACAAAAGGGGGTCCCAACCCAAAGGCTGGGAATCACTGATTTAAACTAACAGAGTCTCATCCTGCTCTTCACTTCCTGCCCACAGCACTCTGCGATATGATCTCACATCCCGATAAAGATATAGCATTTTCTGTCAATTCAGTGAATAAATTGTTTATATAAAAGTACAGAAATAGTAATATATTTGGAATTAAATACTTAACTAATTAAATGTATTATATTTGATTATTTTTATCCTTTTATTTAGATTAAATGTCTAGTTAGACTTTATTTTGGCAGGTCCCAGCGACCTGTTTAAGCTCAGAGAGAGAGAGAGAGAGAGAGAGAGAGAAGCATTATCTGCACTGCGATATCTTACAGCTACAGACCCGATAAATCATTCGATACCTCGTTGGTTTCACTGTTAATCAGACTCATTAACAACAACAACCTGCTGAATATGAAACTAAATCCCAACGTTGTTAGGACACTACATAAACAGACAGAGTGTGTGTGTGTGTGTGTGTGTGTTTGCGTTGCCTCCTCAACCCGTTCAGAGCACATATTGTCCTCACGGAGTGTGACGGAGATTTGTGACGCAACAAAACAAACAATAGAGAAAAATATGAAACAATAGACTCTCTATCCATCCTCAGACAGACAGACCTGCAGACAAACTATTACACAGTTCTATATCTGTGTTGTTATAGTGTTTCATTCATATGAAAAGGTATTATGTTAAATACAAACTTAAAGAAGAGGATGGACTGAAATCCTCTGCAGACCCGTCTGCAGGCGGCCGTTCAGTGGGCTCGGTTCTGGTGCACAACAGACCAGAGTTATCAGGACTTTGCTTTGTGTTGATATCGGGCATCAGCAGCCTGATCTCTAATGATCAGCATCGGCCGATAACAACCCCACTCTCAGACTCCTCTCAGGGTCTTCTGTGGGCATTCACATTCATAAAATCTACATTATTTAATTAGCTGATTGTTACAGTAACGGTGTCGCTAGCAGTGCGCCAGGCGGTGGGTGTCAGGCGCCGTGCACACAGAGGAGCAGAGCCTCAGTAAACAGAGAGACTCTCTGCAGACTCAGGTTTCAGTGACAGTGCTGGTCCAGGATCTGGCCTCTGGTCGTGTGTGTGTGTGTGTGTGTGTTGATTGACAGCTCTTGTTGACACACACTTTGGAGAGTGTAGGAGGGGGTGACTGAAGGTGACAGGTAACAGATGTGTCCAGATCTCTCTCTCTCACACACACACACACACACACACACACACACACACACACACACACACTCACACTCAGAGGTAGTCCTTAGACAGTCTGCGCTGGGGCTGATGGGTAGTTTCCTGGCGAAGGAACACAAACTATAATATACGTTCATATTTTTCCTCCCGGTTGCAGCTTTTAAACCTGTTTATTTTCATTCCTTAGTTTGTGTCAATCAATCAATCAATCAATCAATCAATCTTTATTTATAGAGCACCTTTCATTCAGACGGCTGACAGCACGATCAAAAGACAGAAAGGAGTAAAGATTACATTAAAGGGACAATAAAATACAGGTATAAGGAAACTATGTTTAAAATAAAGGAAGGACATTCCTCGCACTCTCAGTAAAGATCACCTGCAGGCTGTTACAGCTGTATCTTACAATCCTGAAGTCCGGGATGATCCGGATACTCCGGGCTAGTGTTGCACGGTGCACCGATACTTCAAAAGTATCGCGATTCTCGGAAATTAAAAACGTCACGATTCCTAAATTTATTAGTATCGATACTTTTAAGAATGACCGCGTTCCAGATTTGTAAGAGACGTATTTCATGTTGGTGTGTACAACGCATGCTTCCAGTGCCTCCCTATGACAGTGAGGGCAAAGCCACCGATAAGTCGAGACCTGTTTGTCGTCAGTGCTACAAACAATGCAAACACCTCGAACCTGGAGAAACACTCGGCCGACAAGCACGCTGAGTTGTACAAGGAGTTTAAAGACCGACAGGTTAGTATGTGAAAGATAACACGACCACGTTCGTGCCCTTAAATAAGTCAAAGGAGTAGGCTATGGGTTATTTTGTGAGAAGTCACTATTTTGCACCACCGTAGTTTGACGAGGCTATCTAGAGAAATAGTAGGCTAACTATGGGCATTATCCTCATGGCTGACCAACAGCCTGCCTACGGATAATTCAACATCTCTGAAAACGCAACTTTCACAGATAACGTTAATCATTTGCAAGCTGCTAAAATAAAGCACACAAAACATCAGCTAAAATGATCTATAGGCTATATGATTATAATCAGAGCATGTGCATGTTTGTCAGTGATTTATTTATATTAGGTTATTACAGCATTTAAAGAGCACAGACCGCAGAGGAGGTGTATTTGTGAAACGCCTTGTAAGAAATGATGGACTCAAATATAAAGTTAACCATCAAAGAAATCAGACGTTGAAGTACAGGAAACATTAGCCTATATTAATCCATATATCACAGCTTAAATAACATTAGGTTAACTCATTATTTCCTATTATTAATTATGGTAATGTTATGGTTAAGTAAATGTTAGCTGCAAATAGAGATGCTAAGTTAGTCACAAGTTATTGTCACTATCACACATAAACTATTTAGGTCCTCTGTTATGACAAATTTATCCCCATCATATTTTAAATATTTCCATTTTCTTCTGCTACAGAAGTCTGGAGCCGTGGGCTCAATGGCTGAGTTTTCTCCTCTGAAAGGAAAGGTTGACAGAATAAGTTAAAATATATAGATATTGCTGCTAAATAAATGTTTAATATATCTGCTGTTCATATGTTCATTCATTAGTGTGCTATATGATTAAAATCTGGTCCCGGTTTTAAAATAAAGCACAGCAATGATATTTGAGAGTGTTTCTCCCTTTTCAGGAAAAATATCGAAAAAGTATCGAAATCGGAATTCTTGACTTGGTATCGGTATCGAAACAATAATTTTGGTATCGTGACAACACTACTCCGGGCCGGATGGCCGCTGCTGTACGTCTGCGTGGTCGCCATACTGAGGAGGTTAAGATAATCAGGCTTACATTTAGTGCTGTTATTATTTGGTCTGTGGGAGGAAGTGTGTGTGGGTGTG